ACCAGCCTGGGCCACATAGGGAGACCCTGTCTCTTTTGGGGGGAAAAATAAATGGGAAAAAAGTTAACCTAGAATTAGAATTAATTTAATTGAATTCATCTAAGGACATCACTGGTGATTTTTATATGTTCTACATAACTGATGCTTTATAATTTTATCATAATCCAACAACTTCAGTTTATATTTAATTATTGTTAAGGAGTTTAAGACTAGAAAGACAAGAGTGCTTTCTAGTCCAAATAGAGGTCAATGAAATAGCTTCTGACATCAAATTTTCATTTGAGAGGGAGAGCTGTGGTATGGGCTAAAAAGAAAGGAAGATAACGTCCAGTAACTACAAGAATATATTCTCTGTGAATTAAAAGTCTTCAAATTTATCATTTCTCTGACATATGTTGGAGTAGTCATTTCCATTCTTTACATTGTCCTGAAATGGTTTGATATCCCTCATCTGCAATATTCTTTTTACCCTTAAAATTTTTAGCAGGGTTTTCTTTTTTTCTCATGACTATTTTAAGTTTAGATTGCTCCATTACTAACTGATTAATGTACTTTGAAGTTCTCTGGAGTTAATTCTTTTAAATTGGCCTAGCTTAGACTGTCAAGATGGCTGTTATAAATTGGACTTTATGAGCAGTGGAATGAAGCCTAAGCCAGCTGAGTCCCTATTATAGCTGTACTGTGAGGACAGCCTCATAGCTCATGTATAAGGGACTTTGCCATGTTTGAGAGGCATAGCATGAACAAGTAATATTAAGCCAAGAACAAGCAGCAGAACCCTGTTCCATATGGAAAAAAATATTTTTTTTGGCCCTAATGCTCTTCCTTTTTACATCCTGGAACAACAATAAAAACTTTTTTTTTTTAACTTGGCTATCTGTACTCCAAGACACTGCCATCATAAAGCAGAGACTTACATGAGTGAAAAGGTTGCCTCATCAAAGAAACTCAGTGTAAATTGGGAGACTAGGCTCTCCCCAGCCCTGTGGTTTTTTTTTATTTCATGTACCCCAGGAAATACTGTGTGGTTTCCAGTAGCCCTAGTTGTTAAAAGTAGGGACTCTGCCTTTTTGTTGGTAGGGGGGGAAAATGCTATTGCTTTGTCTTACAGAGCGAATGTCTGCCAACTACCCGTTCATTATATAAGTCTGAACTTCGTAATATATGGCTAATGAAGATTAAGCCCTCTATAAAGACTTCCTGTTGAGGTGAATTCTCATACTGAAATGTAGTTATCTACAATATTTACTAGAGATTTATGAGATTAAATTAAGAGATAATGTAAGAAAATAGATTTTTTTTTTTGTTCTATATAATGCTTCATGATTCATTTAGGGACCTAGAAATATTGTGTGAAAATATATAAATATCACCCAAAAGGCTTTCTGCCCTATATTTTTAAAATACAGAATAGTTATATTTGAAGTAGCCCTGGCCCTAGTTCTATAGGGCTTGGCTATTTAATATTTTTATGGAAGAAGTGTTTAGTTCTGGAAAAGGTAAATGCTTGTATATATTTTTGCAGCCTGGGATCTCCCTACTCCATTTTTCCCTTTAATTTAAGTGGCCACATGTATATGTCTTCCCTGCTGTGTTAGGAAAATGGGGGCTGGATATCCCAAGAATCAGAGGTTATATAAAAATACTGCAAATAGACAGCAGACATAAATATCTACCAAATGCTATCTTAAATTTTGGTCCAAACTGAACATATGGAAATAGATTTATTGTAAGTATTTACGTAGACCTTTTTCTTAAATCTGAACTAAATTGCTTTTAGAATTCTTTCTCTTTGTAAGCATTGTAAATGCTAATAAATCCTGTTAATTATTATTATTATTTTTTACTGCATGTTACATTGAAATAAAAACAAAGTAAAATGAGCAATTGCCTTATTCTTCTGCTCTTTTGCAGGGGGCAGGGGTTGGGGAAGACAGCATTCCACAGCCTGGTCAGGAGGGAAGGACCTCACTTTTTTGATCAAATGGAGTGGTTTAAAACTGATCAAACAGCTCATAATAATGAATTCCTGCTCTGTCTTTTATTATGTCAGAGTACAGAAGAACCTCATTTCATAAAACTTACAATAACTCTATTTAAAATTCAGGTATTGTACTTGGGAGGCTGAGGTGGGAGGATCGCTTGAGTCCAGAAGTTCAAATCCAACCTGGGCAACATAGCGAGACCCTGTCTCTTAAAGCAACAAAAAGACATATTCAGGTACTGATTTTTCATCAAGAGATTGACATACCAATGACTAGAAATTTTAGTGAAACATGTTCAACTATACACAAAGTTCTCATCCTAAACGAACTATTTCAATCAAGCCCGCTCTACCACTTTTTACTTATCTGGTTAATAATCTGAAATGTTAATCAGGGTTGACTCATGGAATTAAACTTTTCCTCTTGTTTTGGATGTTACTTCATCTTTCTAAACTCCTTTAGAGTTAACTACTTCTATTTAGTATTGTTGGCATCTCCAGCCCCCACCTCCTTTTTTTTTCTTTTAGTTATTTACAAAATTGTTGGTATATTTGTATATTACTGTATTAAGAGTACCTTTATTTTCTTGATCTGTTACTTCTAATACTCAGGTAATGCTACAAATATTACAGGAAGTCAAATGCTTTCATAAAGTTCCTTCAGTGGTTGCCTCACTTAACGTTTTCCTAAAAGATGTAAAACTGTTTATAATTAAACTTTTTGGTCCTTGATTTGCATGCTTTTCTGTTAGTCATGGGTAAGATGGGGTCTCTTTCCTCTTTCCCCGGCCCCGCCTTCAGAGAAGACTTAAAATGACTAGGTCACATAGACTTCTGCCTCTCTGCTTTTTTATGTGGCAAGTTACAGTATGTCTGTATTGTGGTATTGTTCCCGGACCAAAACAAGGGTCAGGCTCCTTATTCTTGCAGCCCAATAATGAGGTGCAGATGAACTGGGAAAGGAGGGAGTTTACTTCAGTAATGGGTATGGGGAGAAGGCCTGGAAATTATCCCCAGACCAACTCAAAAGTACAAAGTTTTCCAGAGCTTATTTACCTTCTAATCTGTATGTCTATGTGTAAGTGTGCATTCATCTAAAGACATAAGTGATTAGCTTTTTTAAATCTATAACTAAGATCTGAGTCCCAAAGACCTTCTTCTGGAGCCTCAGTAAATTTACTGAATCTAAATGGATCCAGGTGCTGGGGTGAATGATTACCCTTCAGACCCCCCAGTAAACTTGTTTGTGGGGGCCTTCAGAAAAAGTTCCTTCAGACCCCCAATAAAACTTGTCTAATCCTAAATGGATCCTGTTAATTCCTTTGTTATCTTGTCATGCTTCAAGGCCCAGGAAAGGCCTGGGCAAAACCCTTGGTGGGCTTTTGTATAAGGGCCCTGACTTTTTTAGCTTTTAATATTTAACTTAACCACTCAGTCAGTGCTGAAACAGTTGTTATGGAGACCTGTGTTATTAAGACCTGGCCTACCACAATATGAGTAAAAATACTAGAAATTGCTACGCAGATGAGACTGGATTTGGTGCCCATGTTGAAGATGAAGATATCTCCAGGGGCTGTTGACTAACATGAAGGCCTCCATGTGAATTGTTTTCTGAGACAACTGAAAGATGGGACCACAGGCAGGAGTGCTAAGTAGAGAACCACCAACTAGCTAGCTATCAAGACTGTTACCAAGAGTGTTATCAACCAGCTGGCCTGCTTACCATCTTCATAGACCTTTTTCTTATTGGGAAACTCAGGTGATTATGCTCTCATTTAAAACAAAACCAGTGGAAAGGGACTAAGGCAAGAGGAATTTTTTAATACAGCTGATCTAACATGGGCCTAGGGGACAGAAACTGCAGGCCTCTCCCAGGTCCTGAGTAGCTGTTTAGTCTGTCCAGTGGAAGCTGCTAGAATGCTGTAGTTTCAATGTGCTTAGAATAAGGGACAAGATATGTCCCCCTCAGCATGTGGAAACCTATGGGGAATAAGTAATTGTTCTTATTAACCATTGTCTCTCATCCAAAACCCTACAAAGCATCAAACTGGGACTCAGCTGTGGCTGACTGGCTGTTCTCTGGACTTTTCAAGTGTCTCAAACATTGTATAACTCTAGGAGTTGCTGTCTCTCCCAGCCTATTTCAGTTGTCGAATCTTCCATGTTTGTAGGACTCCTTTGTGATCAGGATATCTGTAGTGAGGAGCCAGGAGAAACTTTGTGGTTGGCAAGGAAAAGAGGACCTTAAACATAAACCCCCAAAGGACACTGTTGATCCCTTGTAAACAGGGTCCTGTTAATAAGTGAAGAGTGGCTATGAACAAAGGGATTTCCTCAAAGCACCCCGCAGGGAAGAACCTGGAGAATTTGTAGTCATACTTGCAAGATCACTAAAAACAGCCCTCCTGTTACTTTTCTTCTAATTCAGACCTGTTCTTCTATTTGTCTTCCATATCATAGCAACCAATACCCCACACCAACATTCACTTAATACCAAAACAACTGTCAACATTTATCACTATGTGCAGGACACTAGTAGATATGCTATGTGCAGTGTCACTTAGTCTTCCTGTTACTGGGAACGATTTCTGTTTCGCAAGACAATAGAGGCTCCAAATGATTGAATCATGTTCACAACTATTAAGTAGAAAGTACAGATTGGAATCCAGGACGGTTTGACTCCAGAGCATGTATACTTAACCATTTTGCTGTACTGCTACTTACATACCACAACACCGGGAGTGACCAGTTTTGCCATTACATTTAATTAGCCTCCAAATCCTATCAAATCTATTCCCAAAACTTTTTTTTTTTTTTTTGAAACTAGAGTCTCGTTCTGTCGCCCAAGCTGGAGTGCAGTGGCGCGATCTCGGCTCACGGCAACCTCCCCCTCCCGATTTCAAGCAATTCTGCTTCACCCTCCCGAGTAGCTGGGATTACAGGCGCCCACCTCCATGCCCGGCTAATTTTGTATTTTAATACAAAAAGTCAATCCTCTTAACATGCAGACACTTACATTTCGAAGGAGAACCAAATCCTTCCTCACTGAAGAGCAGCTACCGTGGAATGAAATTTTGGAGTTAAGATTATCGTTGAATCCAACAAGCTACAGTGCCTGGGAGAAAAGGCACTTATAAAGTATTCGGTGAAGCTTACTGGTGATAAGGCATGTGCGTGTTCAGCACAGTAATGTGGCACAGGGTTCACTAAACGGCAGCATGTTTTAACCGAAGTTATTTCCTACTTAGAGGACCCAGAAATGTTTGCGGCCTGCGAGAATAGAATGCTAAAGAACGAAAACCCGGACAACACTGGACTCTGGTAAGAAGGGTCCCCCTTTTAGAGGTGAGAACAGGATAGAACACAAAGATGTGAAGTGGTTTCTCCTAGGTAACGCGGGGATTCAGCTGTGGCTGAGCTCGGATTCTGTAGACTCCCAGGCCAGCCCTAACCAATTCATCTCCGAGTTTGCACAGCCTCTTCCCCGGAGACTCCAGCCCCATCCCTGGCCTGCCCGATCCCGAAGCGCATTTGGGCACTGGGAGCCTCTCTCTCCGTCTGGGCTCAAAGGGGTCTCAGCAACCGCCCCACTCGCCTTCATACTCTCCCACCACGCTCCACCCAGGGACTTCAGAGCCAGCTTAGAACTCCATTGAGAGCTGAAAGCACCTTCCGATACCGAGAACCAGCATGTTCTTTTTTTGTGAGTTAGGGTCTCTCGCTCTGTCGCCCAGGCTGGAGTGCAGTGGCGCGATCTTGGCTCACTGAGCCTCGAACGATCCTCCCACCTCAGCTACCTCCCAGTAGCTGGGACCACAGGCGCGAGCCACCACGCCCGGCTACCTTCCTTTTTTTTTTTTTTTTTTTTTTTTTTTTTAGTAGAGACGAGGTGTCGCCATGTTGCCGAGGCTGTTCTCGAACTCTTAGGCTCAAGCGATCCTTCCGACTCGGGCTCCAAAAGTGCTGGTTTTACAGGCGTGAGCCACCGCTTCTGGCCAGAACCAGCATCTTTTCTGCACGGCTGGAGTTGGGAATTGTCCACACTTTAGCGCTCGTCTCCTTTGCTTTTCGCTTTCCCACAGTCGAGCAAATTTACAGAGTCCGGGCGCAGCTAAAGCCTGCGCTCCCGCCCCCACCTCACCCTGGCTCCTGATAGGCAGTGAGCGTTGTCCGTTTTGACAGAAACCTGTGCGCAGGCGCAGAAAGGCACGGGACTGGGCTGAGTGTTGGCTACGCGGGGCTACCGGATCCGTCGGAAATGGTGAGCGTGGGCCGAGGGGCTAGTGGCTGGCAGCCGCCCACCACCCCACGCTAGGCCTTCAGATCTCTGAGGATGAGGGGGTCTCAGAGCTCTGGGCTGGGAATTGGTTGGGGCTGGGCGTGGCCGGGACCGGGCCGGAGCAGACTTGAGGGCGGAACCCAGGCGGCGCGGGCCTCTAGAGCGGAGCTGAGGCGGGGCGGGTTCCTGCTGCCCCTTGACCGGAAGCAGGAGCTCCGACTCGGCCGGGAAGAGATGGTGGGGCGAGGGTTGCACAGCGACCCTGCAGCCTAGCGTCCTGGGCCTTGTTGCGCGATGGCAACCTTGCTAACGTTTCCTGCGAGCTCAGTGTATGGCAGGCTCTGCCAAGCGCTTTAGTTATCTCGTCTTTCCTCCGCTTCCTTCTCCCAGCTCTGTGAAGTGGATACGACCATTAACCCCATTTTTTATGCAAATCTGTTACCCAGAGCTTCGAGTAGCCTAGTGCTTTGCCCCAGGAAATGGTGGAGGTGGAGAAGCTTGGTTGCCGCCACTCTGTCACCGTGGTCCTTGCCAGCTGCTGGGACTGAGTGCCTGAGTCAGGAACAGGCGGCGTCCGCCCTTGAGGATCCCAAAGCCTTCTTTCTACCTTGCTGGCTGCAGCTGTGGGCTTTCTACGCCTTTAAGGGTTTTGTAGTTTTTAATCACAGCTTGTGCAAAATTTGAAAAAAGTTTTAAATGTTAAGCCATGTGAATGTATTATTTTTTCAAAAATCGTGTTTTTAAATCTAGATCTTTTAAGAAAAATTGAAAAAAGAAACTGTGTCATCACCTGGAGACACAGTCATATGACTTACAGTCTTTGTTTTTGCTTTATACGATTTAGCCCTTGTTGAATGTGCAATTGTGGGTTATGTGTTTTTCATTATTACACCGCAAAGAATATCTCCACATCATTACAAACATGTAATAATACTTCAAATATATATAAACTTCATTTTTCACATCACTTCTTAAGCTGTGAAAAAAATTCATATATGATAGTTGTACACATTTATGTTGTAGATATTTATATTTATACATGTGATATTTTGATACAGGCATACAAGGTGTAATGATCAAGTCAGGCTATATTTATTGTAAAATATTCGTCACCTCAAACGTTCATTATTTCTTTTTTTTTTCGGAGATGGAATCTTGCTGTGTCACCCAGACTGGAGTGCAATGGCGCGATCTCAGCTCCCTACAACCTCCGCCTCCCAGGGTTCAGGCAGTTCTCCTGCCTAAGTCTCCCTAGTAGCTGGAATTACAGATGCCTGCCACCATACCCGGCTAATTTTTGCATTTTTAGTAGAGGCGAGGTTTCACCATGTTGGCCAGGCTAGGCTCGAATTCCAGACCTCATGATCTGCCCGCCTCCCAAAGTGCTGGGATTACAGTGTGAGCCACCGCCTGGCTTTTTTTTTTTTTTTTTTTTTTTTTGATACTCATTCTGGCTCTGTCCTCTCAGGCTGGTGGGTCTCGGCTCACTGTAAACTCCGCCTCCCGGGATTAAGCGATTCTCCTGAGTAGCTGGGACTACAGGCGCATGCCACCACGCCCGGCTACTTTTTTGTATTAGAAACGGGATTTCACTGTGTTAGCCAGGATAGTCTCGTCGGTCTCCTGCCTCGGCCTCCCAAAGTGCTAGGATTACAGGCATGAGCCACCGCGCCCCTGAAACATTCATTTGTGTGTGTGTTAAGAACATTTCAAATCTTCTAATCTTCTAGCCTTTCATTTTCCTTTTTTTTTTTTTGAGACAGGATCTTATTCTTGCTCAGGCCGAGTAGTCCTGGGCTCATACAATCCTCCTGCCTCAGTCTTCCAAGTAGCTGGAATTATAGGCAGGGGCCATAAGCCTAACAAACTATTTTGAAATATACAATAAATGAATGTTAACTATGTAGTCACCCTATTGTGCTGTCAACCACGAGAACATGTTGCTTCTATCTAACTGGACATGTGTGCCCATTAACCAGTCTGTCTTTGTCCCCTCCGACTTCTCAGATTCTGGTAACCATCATTATCTCTACCTACAGGAGCAACATTTTTAGCTTCTACATATGGGTGAGAAGATGTAATATTTTTCTTTCTGTGCCTGACTTATTTCAGCTAATATAATGACCTCTACTTCTGTCCGTGTTGCTGCAGATGACAGGATTTCATTCTTTTTTATGGTTGAATAGTATGTCATTGTGTGTTAATACCACATTTTCTTTATCCATTTATCTGTTGATGGACACTTATCGAATTCCGTATCTTGGCTATTGTAAATAGTGCTGCAATATGAACGTGAGGATGTAGGGATCCCTTTGATGTACTAGCTTCCTTTCCTTTGAAGAAATACCCAGTAGTAGTATTGCTGGATTGTATTGTAGTTTTGTTTTTGTTTTTGTTTTTTTGAGACAGAGTCTTGCTCTGTCACCAGACTAGAGTGCAGTGGCACAATCTTGGCTCACTGCAACCTCCACCTCCTGGGTTCAAGCTATTCTCTTGCCTCAGCCTCCTGAGTAGCTGGGACTACAGGCATGTGCCACCATGCCCAGCTAATCTTTGTATTTTTAGTAGGGACAGGGTTTCACCATGTTGGTCAGGCTGGTCTCGGACTCCTAACCTCGTGATCTGCCCACCTTGGCCTCCCAAAGTGCTGGGATTAAGGTGTGAGCCACCTTTGCCTGGCCCCTTATCTCTTAAAAAATAATAACAGATAAGGTCTGGCTGTGTTGTCCAGGCTGGACTTGAACTTCTAGGCTCAAGCAATCTTCCCACTTCAGCCTCCCAAGTGGTTGGGACTATAGGCACTGCCAACTCACCCAGCAGTTTATAGCTTTCTTCAGAAAACTCCATACTGTTTTCCATAATGGCTAATTGACATTCCCACCAGCAGTGTGTAAGAGTGCCCTTTTCTCCACATCCTTGCCAGCATTTGTTATTTTTTGTCTTTTTGATAATAGCCGCTCTAACTGGGGTGAGGTGATACGTCATTGTGGTTTTGATTTGAATTTCCCTAATAATTAGTGATGTTGAGCATTTTTTCAAATACCTGATAACCATTTATATGTCTTTTGAGAAATCTCTGTTCAGAGCCTTCCTTTGCCCGCTTCTTAATGGGATTGTTTGTTTTTCTGCTGTTGAGTTTGAGTTCTTGCATATTCTAAATGTTAATTAGTCCCTCGTCAGATGAATGGTTTGCCAATATATTCTCCCATTTCAGAATGTCTCCTCACTCTGTTGATTGTCTCCCTACTGTGGAGAGGCTTTTAGTTTAATATGGTCCCATTTGTCTATTTTGTGGTTGTTGCCTATGCTTTTGAAGTCTTAGCCATAAAATCCTTGCCCCAGTGTCCTGAAGCATTTCCCCTATGTTTTATTCCAGTCATTTTATAGTTTTGAATCTTATATAGAAGTCCTTCATCCATGTTGAGTTGATTTTTCTATCTCATGAGAGATGGGGGCCAAGTACCGTTCTACAAATCCAGTTTTCCCAGCACCATTTATTGAAGAGGATATCCTTTTCCCAATGTATGGTCTCGATGACTTTGTCGAAAATCCGTTGGCTCTAAATACGTGGATTTATTTCTGGGTTCTCTGTTCTAGTCCATTGGTCTGTATGTCTGTGTTTTTATACCAGTATCATGCTTTTTTTGGTTACTACACCTTTCTAGTATGTTTCGAAATCAGGTAGTGTGATACCTCAAGCTTTGTTCTTTTTGTCCAGGCTTGCTTTGTCTTTCTGAGTCTTTTGTGGTTCCAAACAAATTTCAGGATTGTTTACAGGCAATACTTGCACACAGTAAAAGAATTAATGATGTGAAAGGATCTAAGAGAAAAATAAAATTCCCACTCTCCTACCCCTAATCTCAGTCTTTCTTCCCTTAGAAACAACCATTATTAGTTAGTTTGTTTGTTTCTTTTTTCCTTTCTTTCTTTGCCAGACTTGACCCTCCCAAGCTCAAGTGATCCTCCTGCCTCAACACCCCGAGTACCTGGACTACTGATGCATGCCACCATACCTGCTAATTTTTTTTGCATTTTTTTGTAGAGATGTGGATTTGCCATGTTGCACAGGTTGGTCTCGAACTTCTGGTCTCAAATGATTCGTCCACGTTGGCCTGCCAAAGTGTTAGGATTACAGGCATGAACCACTATACTCAGCTGTTTGTTTCTTATACATCTATGCAAGCACTTATATGGCCCCTCTTTTTCTTACGTAAATGGTAGTTTACTATAACCTGTACTATGCTATTCTGTGGTTATACTCATAAAAGCAATACAAATTTAGATGCTTTTTTTTTTTTTGCTTTGGATCTTTCATTGTGTAAGTACAGATGCATATTTTAACTTTTTTTTTTTTTTTTTTTTTTTTTTCTTGAGACAGAATTTCGCTCTTTGTTGCCCAGGCTGGAGTGCAGTGACATGATCTCAGCTCACTGCAACCTCTGCTTTCCGGGTTCAAGGGATTCTCTTGCCTCAGCCTCCCAAGTAGCTGGGATTACAGGCGTGCACCACCACATCCAGCTAATTTTGTATTTTTTTTTTTTAGTAGAGACTGGGACTTCTCCATGTTGGTCAGGCT